ATTACACAAACACAAAACTAGATTGCCATTGGACCTTTAATGTCCAGACCTTGATTTCATCTGAAGAATGGCAGCTCAAACAACGCAACCACCACCAGCAATACATTCAAATGCCAGTCCAGATTATACAAGTTCAAAGTCACAACATGGGACTTGAACCCACAGTAGAAGTGAACGTGCTACCAACAACATCAAAATTACATTTGTATAGCGCATTTCATGTCAGGAGGGTATCCCATGGCGCTGGACAATCAATGTTTCGGACTCGAGCTAGGGGTTGGGATTGGGGAGGGTGGAGAGCATGGGGGAGGAGGATGACCAAAGGCATGGTCGAAGAGGAGGGTCTTCAGTTCTTGAGACGGGTCTTGAAGGAGGCAAGGAAGGAGGTGAGGCAGAGGGACTGCAGGATGGAATTCCAGATCCAGGCAGAGTGACAGAAGGCCTGCTCGCCAGCGGTGGGGTGGACAAGTGGGGGACCTGAAGCAGGTCAGAGCACACTGAAAGGAGGAAGCGGGCAGGTTGGTAAGGGATTAGAAAGTCGCAGAAGTAGGGGGAAAGCAAGGCCATGGAGGTCTTTGAAGGTGAGGAACAGGATCTTGAACTGTATCCTTTGTGGAAGCCAGTGGTGTCGGGCGAGGATGGAGGTAATAGGATCGCGGAGCCTGGTGCGGGAGAGGACATGGGTTGCAGGGTTCTGGATGATCTGCAGCCTATGGAAGGAGGAGTAGGGGAGGCCGACAAGCAGTGAGTTTGCGTAGTCGAACCTGGATGTTATTAATGCATGTATGAGAGTCTCAGCGGCGTGCAGTCTGAGACAGTGGCAGAGCTGGGCGATGTTGCAGAGGTGGGGGAAGGCAGAGCGGGACATTGCACGGATGTGGGGTAGAAAGGATAGTTGATGGTCAAACAAGACACCAAGGTTCCGGATTGGCTTAGTAAGGTGGAGTGTGCATCTTTGGATGATGATGCTGTCAGTGCCTGAGGTGTGGAGAAGCCAACGGGAGCCAATCAGGAAGGCCTCAGTCTTGCTGACGTTCAACTGTAGAAAGTTAGCTCTCATCCAGGACTTGATGTCTGACAGACATTCTATCAGGACAGCAGTGGTCCTGGAGTCAAGGGTGGAGGCAGAGAGATACAGTTGGATGTCATCCGTATAACATGTGAAAATTGACCCCACATATGCAGATGATGTCACCAAGAGGAAGCATATAGATATTGAAAAGGAGGGGACCCTGAAGAACACCGCGAGAGAGAGTGTGGGGCTCGTGGAGAAGCCGTTTGTGGAGATGAAGTGGAGACGGTGTGAAGAAGGATCTGAACCATTCAAGGGCAGAACCATGAAGGTTGAGGTGAGAGGAGAGGCTGTGGAGGAGGATAGAGTGGTCAATGGTATCGAAGGCAGCAGAGAGGTCAAGGAGGATAAGGAGGCAGGCTAAGATTATAAACAATAACCAACAAAGCCAGGCTAAAATACGTCTAAACAGCTCTAAAATTTTATCATTTAGGATATTAGTAGCAAAATATTAAAAATTTGAACAAAATGTTATACCTGTCACAGAGCTGTATGGCTTTGCAGGTGTATGAGCCGATGATTTCTTGGAGGAATTTAATAGCTCTGAGGGAGGAACTGGCTTTCTATTTTGTACAATAGTCCTGTCCAAATTAATATTGTTTTGTTCCTGGTGGGTTGAAGAATCAGGCACAAAGTAAAGAAATTTTCGGGAACGTTTCTTCATGCTACAAAGCAAAGAATTCTGGTCTTTTTCATCTAACTGGCATTTTTCTGAATCCTCCAATGAAACATCCTTAGTAATATCTGGATCCATCACAGAGCAAATCTTATTGGTAAGTCTGGTGGAAAATACAGCATGCATATTGGACACATTCTGATGACTATTGGTGGGGTCTTCTATATTGACTTGGTGACAAAGCAAATTCACTGGTTTTGTTGAGTCAACTCTGCATTCAGCAACACATTTTAGCTGCAATTCTTCATTTTTACCTATAGGAGAGGGTCTAGTTAAAACAGTTTGTGAATTGGAATCCATGTGGGTCTCATTGAGGGGCTGGATTTGTATCAACTCAGGTACTGTTAAAGAACTTATAAGAGGAGTTTCAGGAGTTCTTCTGCAAGCAGGTTTTAATGTAGTACATTTAACTTCAGTTTCAGAACGTTTTGTACTATCAAAAGATATTATGTTTGGCTTAAAACTAGAATCTTCTACTTCGGCTGCGAAATAACAAGACGCTGAACTCTCACTTGGGCCATTCTTTTTCCAGTATAATCCTTTATCAATAAATTTAGCAGGAACATAGTCTTGGGGCTGGTTTCTATTGGTTTCACTTGAAAGAAGTGTTATACCTGCATTTCCCAAACAGATTTCTGTTGTAGAAGTCACAATGTCAGAGGATTCAATCATATGACTTTCATCAAGTTCTGAAAAATTTAGCTGAGACCAGTCTGATGATGATGATGATGATGCATTTGAGGTTGACAAATCCTTCCCTAAATTTTTATCTTGAGAGTAGACATCAGTTTTCTGGCATTTATCAAAAAACATTTCATTCATTAAAACAGAGGTTGTGATGTCCTGAACTGAACTAACATTTAAATGATCAAAAATGATGTTGCTGCTTGATTTAGCTGCCATGCTCTCAAAGCAGCCCTTTTCATCAATGGAGGCAGACTCTAAACTTTCAATATTATTTGACTGAATATTCCTAACTATGGAGTATTTCTCCCCATTCTCAGTACAGGATATTGCCTTTCTTGGTTCTGAAAGTGGAGAGTCAGTGAAAAACATTGAAGAGACATTATCTGCCTTATTGAGTACTCTGTCAATAGGTAGTTGTAATTCAGTGTCTTTAGGAAGTTCAAGAACAGTTTGATTCCATGGTACCTCCGAACTGCATAGCCTTTCATCTTCAAAACCTTTGCTATCATTAGGCAAACATTCTGGTCTATTATTCAACCCTAAATAATGTACAAAAAAAAAGTTATCAGGTGAGGCGAGGATCAGTCTTGGCAGTTCTGTGCAGCCCCTTTCTTTCCCCCCCAGCCCCCCAAACACATCAGGCCATTTCTTAATTGAATAGCCTTTGTTACCCTTTAAATCACATGAGCTATGTATGACACCTGCTGTTGTACCTATCAATGGGGTTGGGACCTTATGGATCCCAACAACTACATTGTACCAATGCTGCACTCTACATCCATAGTCAAGAGCATAGAAATTAAGAAGTATGACTTCAGTAATAAAATAATCACTGTATCTCTTTAGATATTAGATCAGATGCTTCATAGCACTCCATGCAAGTTACCTCCCAGACTGTAACAACATATCACATCTTCAGCACATACTCTATGTTTAAATTAAAAAAAACAGAAAACAAGATTAAATCAGAATTATTTGCAGCAATTTAAAAATTAAAGTGTCAAACAAAACAGAAATTTTCACCACAGGAGACTATTTGCTCCATTGTGCCTGTGCCATTACTATCTCTAATTGTTACTTTTTCGTTGATTCTACTTTTACTTTCTTACAAATGTAATATTTATGAGCATATAAATATTTGAATCTTTCTGAAAATATGTTCCATTCATTTGATACAGTGCCTTCCAAAACTGATGTCTCAAACTCTATTCAGAATTTTAATGTAAAATGTTGTATTTGGAGGCAAATAGGCAACTGCAGGCAAATGCCTTCAAATACCCAACGAAGATTAGTGATAAGTTAAAGAAAGGCAATTATACTCACTACAACTATTATCAACAACTGTAACGTATCCATTTTTCTCTTCCTCAATCAATGGTAGTGCATGTGTATGGTTTACATTTACACGATCACGTACAAGCTGTAGTAAAGAAAAACTGATTAATATTACTAAATTACTTGGGCTTTATTATACACATTTTAACATGTAATCATCACTTACCATGGGGACATGTACATCCAAAGGCTTGAATTGAGGTAAATCTTTTTCTTCAGCTTAAAAATACAAAAAACTATTATTTATGAAACCAGAAAGATCTTACAAAGTCATTCTCAAAAATTGCATTGCATCCTTCAGTATTATCAATTTCTCTCTTTTTTAAATCACCTTTGCATTATCTCAGTGAAACCCATCAATAAGTTTCATTAATAAGCAGGGCAGCTAATCTCCAGCAATAGAGTCCTGAAAAGCATCAGATGAATGAATGATTTTTTTTGGTTAATTCGAAGGAGAGATATTGCATCACTGCTCTGTTCAATACTACTACTTCTGATTTGACATTCAGCGCAGATCCTATATGCCTTGTTTACTGCGGTCTCACGCTGTTTTGATATAGTGAGCAACAAATCAACTAACACTCCATGTCTCTTTCAGCTTCCCTTGCCTTCTCCATCCATCCATAGAAAATATATGCCTCCCAAATGCAATAAGTTGCATTTATCTATAGCTAGCTGTACCCGTTGCAGCTATGCTTGCAAACAGTTTCATTTAATTGGCCTTCTCTCTTTCGCTTGGCATTTTTAATTTATCCTTGAAAGACTTGATCTTCACTTCTTAGGCATCTTCATTCCTTAAGATTAAGAAAATGTGCTATTGAACTTGTTAGCATCCCTTGTTCATATATTTGCACAACATCCCTTTGGGAGGATTCCTGGTGGGGTCTCTACATCAATTGGTTAGACACACCCAGACAGACATTTTGTCTTTATTAGTAGATATATCTCTCTTGAAAGGTGTGTGACCTCTGTTGCTATTTTGTTGCAGAATACCATCTTTTTATACCTTTTTATTAATAGCTCATCAACGATAGGAGATCCCCGAACAAAAATATGCCCATGACACTCCTTTGGCAAGACCTTTCCAATGAGGTATAAATCATGTCTCTACCTCAATCGGTTATTGCGTTCTTGGCGGACAAGACAGACACACAGACAGACATTTATTAGTTATATAGATGAGAATTTTAAATAAACAGCTCACCTTTACATATAATGACAGTTGGGGATAATGATGGTGGGGTTGCTAATGAACTGGACCAGGACATGTCTGAGTCAAATTTAGCTCCAAGACTTTCTGAAATGCGTTTTGGTGTGACCTAAGTGGAATATAAATATAAATCATGCAACTTTTTAAAAAATTCTTAAAAAATGTTTTTAAATGCTTTCAGAGATGGAACAAACCTTTACCTCGGATGGATGGCAAGGGGTGAAAAATCCATTATCTGGAAGAAACATTTCATATTTTCATATTTTTTTATTTAATTGCTCCTTCAAAACCCGTCTTCAAACCCTCTTCTTCGACCATGCCTTTGGTCACCCTCCTACTCCATCCTTCCCTCCAAACCCCCTGATCCAAACCACCAGCTCGGTACAGACTGTCCAGCATTTCGGGACGTCTTCCTGAAGTGAAAACACGATACGATTGTAATTTGTTGCTGTTGTTACATTTTATCCCTGAAACGAAGACTAAGTGTTCCCAAATGATATCGTCAATTATTAACTGGAGACAGATTAGTGGATGGACAATATTAGTAAGTTTTCTGACCAACTTTTTAAAAAGTGTCACAAGCATTTGGACACAATGCTGAAAGACATGAAATACATAGAAGCTATACTCACCCTGGTTAGAAGTATCCTGTGGAGTCTGGATGTGTTGTGTAAAAGAACAGGGCTAGTATGATTCAAACAAATCAGATACAATTAGCTTCTACATTTTTATTTCCCGAATACAAGCAATTTCCTATTTACAGGATTACTATGGGGAATTTTCTTCTCTTCTCCCTTTAATGTATTATTTTAATTAAAATTAAGTAAAACCATTCCTATATTTACCAATCAATTTTGTAAATGTCTGGAAGGTGGCAAAACATTTTAACCCCCCCACAAAACTAGAAGTACAAGGTTATACATCTGTAAATTTCTGTCAATACCAATCATCAATGGTCATCCTCTTAACCATTAACCCACATTAACAATCTACTAGGCAACAGGAATTACATTTCTATATAAATTCAGAGGTCTTGCACCTTGACATTACTTTACTCAGGATCTACACATACACCTACCACAAGATGGGTCTCAGACCTTGTAATTCTAGAATACCATGCTTCTATTTAATCAACCAATAAACACAAAATGCTTAATTTAGTGGCATTAACCTTAAGAAAAAGGGTTCAGTACGACCAGTAAAATATAATAATATGGTCACTCAATCCAGAATGTGGGACACTGCCGTGCTCAATTGGCTGCCATATTTTGCCCACAAAACATACAATCAGTTCACTTTACAGTACATCACTTCACTTTACGTCTCGAAGACGTGATACTCACTATATGAAATGCAAGTATTGTTTTATTATAAAAAAATTGAATATAAGATGGAAGAATCATAACTCCATATTAGGGTTTTGGGATCAGGCGTCTCTTACATTCTACAAGATCACAACTGGTAACAACCAATATTCCCCACATGGAATCAATCTTCAATCTTCATTAGGCCAAACTAAAATCAGCAGTGGCAATAACTATCTCACACAACTGCTTAAAAATCATCAGGAAATTGTAATACATAGGAGCCAAGGAGTTGAATGAGGGATTTGAGCCTTAGTCAGACCCCACCTGGAGTACTGTGTTCAGTTTTGGGCACCGCACCTCAGGAAGGATATATTTGCTCTGGAGAGGGTGCAGTGCAGGTTCACCAGAATAATACCAGGGTTTAAAAGGGTTAAATTAAAAGGGTCTGAAATGCTTGGGACGTCCTCCCCAGGTGAAAGGCACTATACAAATGTAATCTTGTTGTTAAATTACAAGGACAGGTTGCATATGCTTGAGTCTCTATTCCCTTTGAGTTTAGAAGATTGAGGGGTGATCTGATTGAGGTGTGGATGCTAGATCCATTCGCATTTTCAAGTCAGAGGTAGGTAGATATTTGTTAAGTCGGGTTATCAAGGGATTATGAGGCAAGGGCAGGTAAATGGACTTGAGGTACAGATCAGCCATGATCTTATAAAATGGCAGAACAGGCTTGAGGGTCTGAATAGCCTACTCCTGTTTCAATGTTTCTAATTGTCCAATCTCATTGTGATGATAAGACACTAAGCAGAAGCTGAACTCCCCAGATGATGACCAATAGTCCAGGAACTACAGGAGCACCAGTACTAATGATCAATGCAACATGGCTTTGGTATAGATCTAGAGTTAGGCTGCAGGCACACCATAATGCATGAATGGGAGAGGAAAAAGTGGAATCTTAACCTAAAATAAAATAATCATCAATAACAGCAATATAAATAA